AAGACTTTCTAGAATTCAATGAAAATGAAGTCACAACATACCCAAACTTATGGGACACAATGAAAGCACTGCTAAGGGGAAATTTCATAGCACTTAGTGCTTCCATAAAGAAATTGGAGAAATCACATACTAGCAATTTAAAAGCACACCTAAAAGCTCTAGAACAAAAAGAAGCAAACACATCCAAGAGAAGCAGACGACAGGAAATAATCAAACTCAGCGCTGAAATCAGTAACTTAGAAACAAAGAGAACAATACAAAGAATCAACAAAACCAAGAGCTGATTCTTTGAGAAATCAACAAGATAGACAAACTAACTAAAAGGCAGCGAGATAGTACCCAAATTAACAAAATCAGAAATGAAAAGGGAGACATCACAACAGGCACTGAGGAAATCCAAGGAATCATTAGGTCTTACTCAAAAGCCTGTATACCATAAAATTAGAAAATGTAAGGGAAATGAATGATTTTCCTGATAGGTTTCACTTACCAAAGTTAAATCAAGATCAGGTAAACAGTTTAAACAGTCCTATAACCCTTAAGGACATTGAATTGGTCATTAAAGGGCTCCCAAAAAAAAGAAGCCCAGGGCCAAATGGTTTTAGCTCAGAATTCTACCAGACTTTCAAAGAAGAGCTAATACCAATATTCCTCAAACTATCCCACAAAATAGAAACAGAAGGAATATTACCAAACTCATTCTATGAAGCCACAGTCACCCTGATATCTAAAGCACACAAAGACTCAACAAAGAAAGAAAATTTCAGATCAGTTTCCCTTATGAACACTGATGCAAAAATAATAAAATACTTGCAAACCAAATTGAAGAACACATCAAATAAATCATCCACCATGATTAAGTAGGCTTCATCTCAGGGACGCAGGGATGGTACAACATATGAAAATCCATCAATGTAATCCATCATATAAACAAACTGAAATAATCACATTATCATCTCATTACATGTATGAAAAGCCTTCTACAAAATCCAGCACCCCCTCATATAAAAGTCTTGGAGATATTAGGGATACAAGGTCCATATCTAAACATAATAAAGGCTATATACAGCAAGCCTATAGACAACATCAAATTAAATAGAGAGAAACTCAAAGCAAGCCCACTAAAATCAAGAACAATACAAGTCTGCCCACTCTCTCCATATCTTTTAAATATAGTACTTGAAGTTCTAGCTATATCAATAAGACAACTAAAGGATATCAGGGGAATAAAAATTAGAATAGAAGAAATCAAAGCATCCCTATTTGCAGATGTATATAGTATGTATGTGTAATATATATATTATATATTATATATATATATAATAGTCTATATGTGATCACCAAAAGTCTACCAGAGAACTCCTACAGCTAATAAACACCTTCTGCAAAGTGGCTGGATAAAAAAATTAACTAAAAAAAAAATCAGTATTCTTCCTGAATATAAACAACAAACAGGCTGAGAAAGAAATTAGGGAGACAACATCTTTCACAATAGCCACAAATAATACAATGTATCTTTGTGTAACTCTAACCAAGCAAACAAGTGAAAGAACTATATGACAAAAAATTCAAGTCTCTGAAAACAGAAATTAAAGAAGATATCAGAAGATGGAAAGATCTGTCATGCTCGTGAATTCCTGGGGTTAACATAGTAAAAATGGCCATCTTACCAAAAGCAATCTATAGATTCAATGCAATTCCCAACAAAATACCACCATGATTATTTTTATTTCATTTATTTTATTTATACAATGTTCTGCCTGCATGTGTGCCTGCATGCTAGAAGAGGGCACCAGATCTCATTATAGATGGTTGTGAGCCACCATGTGGAATTGAGCTCAGGACCTCTGGAAGAGCAGCCAGTGCTCTTAACTGCTGAGCCATCTCTTCAGCCCCAACACAATTATTTAAAGGCCTTGAAAAAACAATCCTCAACTTCATATGGAAAAAAAAAAAAACAGAATAGCTAAAACAAACTTATAAAATAAAAGAAATTCTGAAGGCACCTCAATCCATGAACTTTAAGCTGTACTACAAAGCAATAGTAATGAAAACTGCATGGTATTGGCATAGATTATAACAGACTGGTTGATCAATGGAATCAAATCAAAGACCCAGAAATAAACCTTCACACCTATGGACACTTGATTTTTAACAAAGAAGCCAAAATCATACAATGGAAAAAAGAAAGCATTTTCAACAAATGGTGCTGGTCCAACTGGATGTCTACATGTAGAAAATTGCAAATAGATCCATATTTATCACCCTGCAAAAAGCTCAAGTGCAAGTGAATCAAAGACCACTAAATTAGAAACACTAAATATATTAGAAGGAAAAGAGGGAACTAGCCTTGAACTCATTGGCATAGGAGACAATTTCCTGAACAGAACACCAACAGCCAAGGCTCAAAAATCAACAACTAATAAATATGACCTCATGAAACCGAAAAGCTTCTTTAAGTCAAAGGACACTGTCAAAAGAACAAAAAGGCAGCCTACAGATTGGGAAAAGATCTTCACCAACCCTACATTAGACAAAAGGATAGTATCCAAAATACATAAAGAACTCAAGAAATCAAAAACAACAAACCAAATAATCCAATGAAAAATGGGGTACTGAGCTAAACAGAGAATTCTCAATAGAGGAATCTCAAATGGCAGAGAAGCACTTAAAGAAATGCTCAACATCCTTAGCCATCAGAGAAATGCAAACCAAAATGGCTCTCAGATTCCATCTTACACCAGTCTCAGTAGCTAAGATAAAAAAACTCAAGTGACAGCACATGCTGGTAAGGGTGTGGAGCAAGGGGAACACTCCTTCATTGCTGGTGGGAGTGCAAACTTTTTTGCCGCCATTTTTCTGTTTGTTATTATCATTTATTACAATTTATTCAATTTGTATTCCAGCTGTGGCCCCCTCTTTCATCTCCTCCCAATCCCATCCTCCCTCCCTCTTCTCCCCCCTATGCTCCTCCCCTAGTCCACTGATAGGGGAGGTCCTCTTCCCATTCTAACTTTTACAACCATTTTGGAATGGCACTTTCTCAGAAAGTTGGGAATAGTGCTACCTCAAGACCCAGCTATGCCACTTTTGGGCATGTACCCAAAAGCTGCTCCACCATTCACCAAGGACATTTGCTCAACTATGTTCACAGCAGCTTTATTCATAATAGTCAGAAACTGGAAACAACCTAGACGTCCCTCAACCAAAGAATGGATAAAGAAACTGTGGTACAGTAACACAATGTAATACTACTCAGCTATTAAAAACAAGGAAATCATGAAATTTGAGGGCAAATGGATGGAACTAGAAAGGATCATCCTGAATGAGGCTACCCAGACCCAGAAAGACACAAATGGTATGTACTCACTACTCACTTGTAAGTGGATATATTAAAGGATAACTATACTACTAATCACAGACCCAAAGAAGATAATAGGAGGGCCCAAGGGAGGCCCTCCTTGAATCTCACTCAGATGGGGAAATAGAATAGACAGTTGAAGAGGAAGTAGAGAAGGGACTGAGTAGGAGAGGGTGTGGGGAGGAAAAGGGGGAGGAGGGAATCAGATGTGGGGAGAGTGAGGAGGGGAAGTTTAAGGGCCTAAAGGGAAAAGAGAAACCAAAGGTTGGAGGCATCACTGAGACAAGCTGGAGAACTGGAGATCCCCAACAGGGTAGGCCACAGGGAGGATACAGGGATGTTTCTAGCTGAGCCTCTTAGCAGTGGGAGACATGGAGACTGAGGAGGCCACCTGCTAGCCAGAAGTGGTGGGAGAGGACCGCCAATCCACCTACAAAACCTTTGAACCAAAATTTACCCTACCTGCAAGATGTGCAGAGATAGAGACTGAGGGAATGTCCAACCCTGCTTGGCCCAACCTGACACCCATGGGAGAGAGCCAACCCCCTGACACCATTAAGGATACTCTGCTATGTTTACAGACAGGAGCCTGATTTAACCATTCTCTGAGAGCCCCACTCCCACTCACAGTAACTGATGGGAGCAGGTCGAATCAAATGCTGATACTCACAGCCAAGCATCAGATGAAGCTCAGGGAGTCCTGTGGAAGAGGGGGAGGGAAAGATAGAAAGATCCCGAAGGGGACAAGAACAGTTGCAAGATCACCAACCAGATCACCAACCGAGTCAACTAACTTAGACCAATGTAGGCTTACCGAGGCGGAAGCACCAACCAAAGAGCAAGCACGGACTGCACCTAGGCCCCCTAACATATGTAACCGATGAGTAGATTGATCTTCATGTGGGTTCTCTAGTAAGTTGAGAGAGTGCTTTCTATGGCACGAACTCTGTTGCCTGCTTTCCAACATTTTGCCCTAACTGGGCTGCCTTGCCTGGCCTCAATGGATGAGGAGGAATTCAATCCTGATGAGAATTTCTGTGTTGGGGTGGGTTGCTGCGGGAGAGGGGGCTCCCCTTCTCTGAGGACAAGGGGAAGGAGACTAGGGGAAAGACAGTGGGTGGGAGGGACTGAAAGGAGAGGAAGGAAGGGGCTACAATCGGAATGTAAAGTAAATATGTAAGTTTTTAAAATTTTTTTAAACTCATAATTCAAATAAAATCGCTTTACATTATAAAGCAGGGCATCCTTTCCATGTGGCACTGCTGTAATAACTTACATCCGGGTGATCTGGTTTTCCTCTGACTATTAGAACAAAACTAGAATCTAGGATCAGATCGGTAAATACAAAGTGTTTTTAGTCTTCTACCGCTGGTGTCACAACTTAGGAAATGCTGGACGCAGGGAGAGGAGAAACGTTTAAAAGAAAAAAAAAAAAAAAGACACTGAGAGATGAAGGGATTTAGAGCTGTTAGCCTAGGCTTATAGGAGGGAGGGAGTTGGGATTTCCGGGCTCTGGGAGCACCTAACGAACAGAACCAGGCAAGTTACAGGCAGTTTTATACTTTTATTTTCTGTTCTTCTGAAAGATTAGGATGGAGGCGCTTAAAGAGTAGAGATTTTTATTTTAAATATTTACTAGCAAGACTTAAGAGCATGCAATGCAATACTTTCAAAGCACTGGAGACGGAGGGTCCCGTGGGCTGCGAGGGAGCTCGAAGAGTGGAAGAGCAGCGTTGTTCTAGATCTGGAGCGCCCCCGCGCCCCACCAAGGTGGATGCGCTGCGGGACGGACCCGGAGCTTTACGGTAACCCAGAGGCGGAGCTTTACGGTAACCCAGAGGCGCCGCGGCCCCACCCTCGTGCGCAGGCGCGGAACCGTTGCCTGCTGAGCGGTTGTGGGTCGAGCATTTTGCTGCTTGTGGTTTGGCCAGCTTGACATCCTGGCGACCGCCAATCCTCCGTGCCGCGCCTCCTTGGCCGCGGCGGCCCAAGGTATGGGAAAGTGAACAAGAACAAAAACGTAGGATTTACCGAAGACGGGGAGGTCGGGTCCGAAGGACGTGGGGAGGTCCAGTCCTCAAGGTGCCCGGACCCTTGTGTGTGGGGCTGGGGGAGGGTTGAACTGGGAGCACCTACCCCGGGAAACTGAGGAACCCATTGAAGCCTGGGAGGAAGGCCGAAGCTCTGATACATGCGTCCTCTGTACCGGCGACCCAAAACGAGATAGAGGCTGATGTTCTCCGGGGAAACTGAGGCTGAGGGGTAGCGCTGTGGCACGGGCGCGGGCTCCGAGTCCTGAAACCCAGCATTCTGAGCCACATATGCCCCAAGCCCTGCCCCGGGGTCTGGGTGGGAAAGCATGGAGAGGAATGCTGGGAGCCATGGGTTGGGCTTTTCGTGTGAAATTCACACCGAGCTGTTTCTCCCCTTCGCACTCAAAACAAAAAACGGAAACGAGTTTGTCACTGCTGCTCACTCGGATCGGTTCTCTTGGACCGGTTCAAAATGATGCTTGCCTCTTTCCGATGCCTAGCCCCCTCCGACGTGACACTCGTGGTGGTAGTCCACGGTGGTGGAGCCAGCAACATTTCGGACATCCGGAAAGACCGGGTGCGCGAGGGCATTGCCAAAGCGGCAACCGAGGGCTACAACATTCTCAAGGCCGGAGGGAGTGCGGTAGATGCCGTGGAAGAAGCCGTGGCTGTCCTGGAAAACGACCCGGAGTTCAACGCAGGTAAATTGTGTTTTGACTAGTAAACAATGCCAAACTGGGGCAAGCTCCTGCCCCCATAGACGTGGTGTACGTGAGTCTGGCTAGCTTTGTGGTCCATCAGTATACTAGGGCAAGATGAAGTATTGAATTACCTCGTTCTGCACTAAGCAACTTGTTTTGAGACTTTTTAAGTCTGTTAACTTACCCTTTATTTAGCCTGCGCCCTAAGAATTCAATACCAAAAGCCAGCCATCTTGCTGGGGAGCCCTCCATAGCCTCAAAGTCACAATCTTCAAGGCTCAGCCTTCCAAGCGCTGGAGTTACAGCGCAGACTTTTTTTATTTGTGGGTGTTGGCATAGACTTTACATACCATAGTAACCATTTCGGTTCTAAGAAGTGTGTGTGTGTGTGTGTGTGTGTGTGTGTGTGTGTGTGTATGTATTCCCTCCTTCCCTCCCCTTCATCCCCCCTCATGTGGTGTGCACGTGTGTGTGTTTCTCTGCCTCCCCCATTTTAGCTTCAGAAATTCTGAAGCAGATGCTGGGAGAATCCTTATTATTCTATCTGGTCCCCAAAAAAGTCCCTAATCATCTTTCTGGTTAGTAAATTTACTCTCGTGGGTCTCTAAGTGGAGACTGGTGATTTTACAGACCAAGCCATGACTGGAAACTTGGGATTTACAGCCCCTCTTGTCCTCTGGAAAAGAGAAAGGGACCTCCACAGTCAAGCAATCCAAAAAACATCCCAAATTTTGAGATTAGAACTACTTCCAAAATGCCAATCCTGACTCCACAGCAAAAGCAGGACCTGCCTGCAGCACTCTTCCAGACCCAGACCTCCATGTGTCTTCATCCTGCTGGTGCCACACTTCCTTTATATAACATGCTGGTAATATGTCTGAGTTCTGTGCAGGACCTTGTGAGAGACTGGCTTACAGACTGGCAGAAGTTATGGATAACTTACTACTTAGAGTTGGCATTGAAGTGAGGAAGCAATCTTGGGGGACTGAGCCCCTTAACCTCTGGGCTCTTCAGGTGGCTAGTGTCAGAAGGTCAGTGTCTGCCAGAGCACTGATGTGGGAAGAATGTAGGAAACCCCCACAGCTTTCCCTGGCCTTTGCAGGTCGCTCTCCCCTTTACTGACAGCACCAGGCACTCACTGATCTGCCGCTGTCAGGGCAAATGAGTTTGCATTTCCTAAAAGTCATATAAATGCCATCAGAGTGAATTATTATTCTGTGTTTGGCCATGTTCTAGGATAATAATCATCATAGTTAATGTGTCTACAAATTGCAGGTAGCGGTGGTCTACGAAACTGAAAAGATGAATAACTCAAGTCTGTATGTAGTGTTGTGAAGTAAGCAAAATTAGTTTGCTCGTGTCTCAGAACACTTCGGATTAACTTACTGGGAAAACATTTGGTTTTAAAATAGAAAGCTAAGACCTTAAGATTAAAATAATTGTAGGAACTGTACCACCCACACAGCATCTGTCACAGAATAAAATTTCAGGCTCTCTTAACTAATTCATCATCACATACTTACAGAGTGTTTTCTCTGTCTCCTTGATTCTGTTAGGCATTCTGATACTTAATGGAAATTTTCTTAAGTTAATTTGTCTGTCTATGAGACATTACAGTGCGCTTTTGTAGTGGTTTCTAGAGACAGAATTTACCAGCTGCTTGTTAACCAGTGTGCCAGCATGGTGTAGCCACAGCCTGTAAGAGTCATTGTAAGCTGTGTCTGCTCACAAGAAAGACCTCTTGACTGACAGACTAGTCTTCCAGAACATGTCCTTGAAGAAGCTGGCTCAGTTAGGCCTCTGGTGACCTGTGACCTAAAAATATCCCTCATTTTCTTTTTTTATTAATTTAATCACTTGATAGCCTGATTACAGCCCCTTCTTCCTCTCCTTCCAGCCCCACCCTCACATCTCCTTCCTTCTTGCCTCTTTCCCTCCTCCTCAGAGAAGGGGAGCCCCACCACCACCATGGGTACCAACCCAATCTGGCACATCAAGTCCCAGCAGGACTAAGCACATCCTCTCCCCCTGAGGCCAGACAAGGCAGCCCAGTGAGGGGAAAGGGATCCAGTGGGAGGCAACAAAGTCAGAGACAGCCCCTATTCCAGTTGTTAGGGGACCCACACAACGACCAAGCTGCACATCTGCTATATATGTCTAGGGGGCCTAGGTCCAGCCCATGCATGCCCTTTGGTTGGTGGTTCAGTCTCTGTGAGCCGCCATGGGCCCGGGTTCGTTTACTCAATAGGTGTCCATAAATTTTATTTTATGGGTATGGATGTTTTTGTGTGTATGGGTGTTTTTGCCTACAGGTATGTCTGTCTGTGCCTGTGGAGTGTTTTTACCTGCAATGCCTACGGAGGCCAGAAGAGGGCATCAGATCCCCAGGACTGGCATCACAGGGTATTGTGAGACATCATGTTGATGCTGGGAATCAAACCCCAGTCCTCTGGAAGAACAGTCAATGCTACTAACCTCTGAACCACTACTGTATATGGACACCACTTCTTGTGATGTCCTTGAGCCCTCTGGCTCTCTTGGTCCTTCTTCCTACTCTTTCACAAGATTCCCTGAGCTCCATCTGATACTGGGCTGTATCAGCATCTCTTTCCATCAAATGCTGGATGAAGCCTCTCAGAAGAGAGTTATGCTAGGCAGAGCAGAGTATCACGAATAGGGTCAGGGGTCGACTCTCTCCCATGGGGTGGGTCAGGTTGGGCCAGTCATTGGTTTGCCATTCCTTCAGTCTCCACTCCGTCTGTATCACTACACTTTTCATAGGCAGGACAAATTTTGAGTCGAAGGTTTTATGGATGATTTGGTGTCCCTGTTCCTGCAATGGAAGTCCCGCCTGACTACAGGAGGTGGCAACTTCAGGCTCTTTAACTCCTACCCCCACCCGCTGCTAGGAGTCTCACCTAGGGTCACCAATAGACTCCTGGAAGCTTCTTCCCCCATCCCAGAGGTGCCCCCTCACCAATTTCCAGAGAGAGATCCCTCATTTGATGGGCTGTAACCTAACAGGGCCCTCCCCCACACAAGTTGAGGGGTGTAGATCAGGGAACTGCAGCAGCTGCTCCCGAAGGCCTCTCCCACTTCAGATGCCAGTGCTTTTGGGCAGGCGGAAGGTGAATAGTGCTGAAAATGCAATCAGAGGTTGAGCAGCTACGGTGGGGCTGGTAAGAGCCGAATATCTGCCTCTGCCTCTACTCTGTCTTTTCCATCTACTCTCTCCAGCTGAGGTCAATAGAAACAGTATCCCAGCAGCCTCTGCTAAGAGCCTCTGGGTAATTATTTGGAATCTTCAAAAAGCTGACTCTGGATAATGATAAGTGTTCCATGGTCCAAATTAGCATCTGTGACACCTTGTCTGCATGTATTTGAAAATGTCTCCTGTTTCTGGTCATATTTCAATGTGAACTTGATTTTAAATTCAGAGCTTGTTCCCTAATACTTAAATTATTAGAAGGTAACATGTTAGTGACACTGTAAAACTGAACTTCTAGATTTGGATTCAAATATTTGTTTTATTTTGTTTTTTTGAGGTGGGGTCTGGCATTTTCCATACCTGGCCTCAAACTTCTAGGCTCAAGTGATCCTCTGACTTCAGCCTCCTGAATAGCTGGAACTACAGGCACAGGTCACCACACCCAACTTAAAAATATTTTTTAAAGATTTACATAAATGGACAACTAAATAATTACCTTTTGCATTCACTGGAGTTAAACTGTGTTTTCTAGTGTTTTACTTGTGCTACCATCTGCTCTGATAACCTGTCAGAGCCTTTGAGATAACAAGGTTGTCTTCCTTATCTGCTTTTAGTTCCTTGCACCATCTGTAGAACTGTTTAACGTTTGTAAGCCCTTTACATCTATAAGATACAACATCTTCTGTGGTGGCTACCAACTGTCTAAAAAACTGTTGAAGTCCGCTTGCCAAAGCTGGCTGCCAATGTCTCTCTCTGCTTTGGCAAGGTTCCAGGGTCCAGGGTAGAATCTGGGACAGGATGCAGAATCCCCATTCTATTTATCTCCTGGGTCACCAAGTTGATGTCTCAGGCAATCAGTCATGACAGATGATTGAAAGAAGAGAAGTAGGGGAGTGGTCCTAGGATTCCTTCTCTAGGACTAGGCTACTCTGCTGCTAAGGAGGCAAACTTAAACTGGTCACCTTTTTATCCTGAAGCCAGGACTGCAAAAAGTGGCCTCTAGCCAAAACTGCAGGGGGTTGTAAAAAAGGCCTGCTTGATCTAAGAGTAGCCCCTGTGCAGGAGCAGGCCACTGTGGAGGCCTCCACAGACTACAGTAAAGTTTTTCCTGCTCATGTTAGGCTGATAGTTAGATCCTGAATCTGCTAGCTTATCTGTAAACTGGTAAGAAAAAGAAAAGAGGAGAGAAAATAAACAAAGACCATTCATGCACACACAGTCAACTTCAGCGAATTCCCACAAGCTTACATATGAGATGATGTTGATTTTTGCTAGCGTCTCTGCAGAAGCTGCAGCATGTTTAGATTGCTGGTTCCATAGCATCAGCCCATATGTACACATAAACAAACAATCAGACAAATAGACCTGTACATGTTCATACACACATTCAGTGAATGATACAAAAGGAGCTTCTTACATACAGACAGACAACTGATATACACTCATGTAACATATGTACAAAAAACAAACAGATAGACATATTACATGTAAACACATATCTATATACATATTTACAACTCATGGACAAAGTGAATTCCAGTGGGTTTCCATTCAATAGGCTTCCACCACTGGACTTCGGCCAACTGGGTTCTGCCAATGTTTATTGTATGGTCATGGCTTTATATCTCTGAGACAAAATTCACAGAAAAGGAATTACCTCGTAGTCAAAAGGTAATTAATCACAAAAACAGTTGAATTCTAAAATACAACAGGTGACATGATTTAAAACTAAACATTTCTTATCTATGTATTCATTACATAAGTTCAGAGTGAGTTCAGAGGGACAAAGGTT